CGGCGGGGGGAGGATGCCACCCGCCTTCCCGGGCGCTGGAGGAGTCCCGCAGAAGGGCGCGGGGCGCTCCGAGGCCGGTCAGCCCTTGGCGGGCCACTCGGGTTGCTGCCCCGTGGGTCTCTGCCGCGCGGAGCCGGTCGGGCTCTCGCTGCAGACTAAGTAAACGTGCGCTTAGACCGCGAGCAACGCTTAGGTTTTCCATTAATTTCCCTTCTCGCCCAGTGCTGCAGCATGTGGTGCGTCCTCAAGGTGGAAATTTAAGAAGCGTCAAATACAGTGTTGGCTTCATCAGGGTGCTGGTGAAGTTGAGCACATGCACTCTTCGTTTTCCAGAAGAGCTTCAGTATTATTTTGTCTTTGTGTCTGGCTTCATCTGTTGGGATATCCCACGTACCTGAGTCGGGTTTGGAACGCTGGCAGCCGGCCCGTGATGGTAGGGTGTGGCCAGGGCTGGATTCCTCTGCTGCTTTTAAAACTGATCTGCCCTGTTTTTTCAGTCAAAATGCAACACTTCGGAGGTTAAAAAAAAAAACAAAACAAAACAAGGATTCTAACTTTTGTGCCAAATCTATATATAACTTTCAAATGAAAGTGAGTAATCGACCATTATAACCTGAAAAGCTTATATAACATCTCTTCTCTGGAACACATAGCACATTTCCTTTTATGCAACTTCATATGCTGGCCTGTGTATGTCACTTTTTTTTTTTTTTTTTTAAATGCATGATTGGTAATCAGAAACGCTGACTCTCTGTCCAGCGTTCCCCTCCTTAAACACTGCCACACTGCTGTTGCACAGGTCTCCTTGCAGGTGTTGGGAGTGCAGGATCGTGATTCCAGAAGGGACTCATGGCACTGCTCAGTTACCAGATGTGGCCTCGGCAAAGGAGAGAAGAGGGAGATGAGTCAGTTGTGTAATTAGCACATGTAGCTCTGCCATGTTGTGTAACCTGAGCAGCATTGGGTGCCTTTATTCCTGCTTTCTGTCAAGTGGAGTGCCTTGAGGTGTCAATATACGAAGTAGATTCCCCACCACCACCTTTCTGTGCGTTTGTGGGTCTGGGGAAGGTGAGGCTGATACAGAAGTGAGGGCTGTCTGATGCTCATATAGCACCCCGTATTTGTATGTTTATATGTTACATGTAGGTACATGGCAAGCTCTAACTTTGAGACAAAGTATTTAATGTTTCCATGTCTTGGGAAGAATGGGGAGGATCATTATCTTAAGCATTGTTGTGCAGTCCCAGCCTTCAGTAGTGGAAGAGTCACAGTCAGTACCTTCTTCAGTTAATGTCAACTTTGTTCCTTTGAACTGAGCTGTGACAGAATTCACCATTGTTCTTTGTCTTGTGTCATGGTTTCTCACCACTAAGAATTACTATTTCTGATGTGTTAAGCTCTCTATTTTGCGTGGTTTTTAAACATCCATTACATTGTTGTAAAAGAGCCTGTAATGGAAGACTGCTATGGAGAATAGGTTATATGACTTAGTGGGAGAGAAGTGCTATTGTGAGCAAGACAATCTGAAAGCTTAGGTAGAACTAGGAGTCTTCAAACTCTTAATTAATAAACATCAAGTGCTGACACTTTTTTAATGTTTATTCCTTTTAGTTTGAAGAAATGTTTCTTGTGTGATTAATTGTTGAAATTAATTCATTGTAGGAATTAGTAACTTCTTAGATTTGACACATGCACATAGGGAATTGGGATATCTATGAAATGGGGAAATGAGAGGGTCAGAATGATAGTGACAGTTTTAATAATAGAAGTGTTGACTATTTTCTGCAGGAAATAGCTGGAGTCTGTATTTTGTTAAGGTACCCAAATATTTTTTCATGTAGGTCATTGTAGCATACAGGACTATTGTGTGGTGCACATTATGGTGGGTGTGTTACATTTTTGTTCTCTCTGCTTCTTCCCTGGTGAGAAGATAAACAAGATGGGCTTTAGGATTTTTTTTTTTTTTCTGGAAAGCATGGCTTTGTTTTAGTTAAAGCTTTCTTCTTCAGAGGTTAATATACTTGTTTACCTGCTTGGATTGCCTTGAAATGTATTCTCCATGATTAAAATAGAGTTAGCAAGCCAAAGCTGGGATTCCCATTGTGATTTTTCTCCTTACCTCCATGTATAAATTTCACATACCATACCAACTCTTGTGTTAACATGAGGAGAGACAGGCAGAACTGAATTCCTACCTCTGACTTAGCTTCAGTCGTGCTACTTATCTTGCTTGGTGGGCAGCACCCTTTGGTTTACACATCAAACATATTACAATAAGTCTATATGAAAGCATTGCTAAAAGGGTTTCAGGTAGACAGTTTCCCAGGGCTTGGGTGGCAGGGTGGATAGGTGTGGTGGTGTGTTTCGAGCAAAAACCTGCAATTCTGGTAGTACAAATTCTTGAAAGAGTTTACTTGTTAGTCTCAGACAACCCCCGGGGTAACTTTGCCTTTGGTGCTTGTTGTAGATAGTACCACTGTCTGTATTCTTGAAAATGATGTTTTCTGACTATCTTTGTACAAATTGAGTGATTTGTTCCCCATGCCCCTTGTATTTATCTTCTCCTAGTGCAAAGGCTACAACTCAGTTGTAGAACTGTGGACTCGGTATTTTAGCATTTTTGTAATTACTGAAAGTTACAAGGATTTTTGAAGACTTTTAGCTACAGGTGTTCCACTGCTTTGCCTCCCATACAGTTGAACAGATGTCTGATGAGCTTTTTGGAACAAATCCTCCGATTAAGCTGTGCCTCAGTGACTGTCTTCACACAGCACAGGTCCTTAGAAATAAGGAGTCATCACCTAGTTGAAACATCTTGCATATGCAAAGGGAACACATTTTTCTTTCAAGTGCATTGTTCAGCTATGTCAGTATCATTTTAGCCTCCTGTATTCCAGCTCCTCAGGAAGTTCATCCTTGTAGGGGATGACAGGAAATTCAGCATCACTAATTAGAGTTTCCTTCAAGCTGATTTCAGTACAGAAACTGCTGAGAACCTAACTCAAATGCTTTTGATAATGTGGGTAGCTCTATGTGTTACAGGGTTTTTTTTCAAATTCCTTGACTTTCCTTAGGGAAATAGTTAATTCAAAATGGGATTGAGGACTGATTTCCTATTAAGTTAACAAATTATGTATTTTATGTTTGGATTAGGTAAATCCTTGCTTCTTTGTTGAGAAAACTAATAAAAAATGTGCACACAATAAAACTGTGGACATGGGCTGGGGGGATTGCATGTTCTGAGATTTTTTTTAGCATTAACAAAATGGTTATTCCAGAGGAAAAATATGTACTTCCAGACCATGGGAGCTCAATATGTAATTGGTAGCAAAATCCAAAAAGGCAGCCTGTCAACACCAGCAGCTCACCAAAAACCTTGTATGCTTTTGGGCATGACAGTATTCACACTGATTTAGCTAACATGCATAAATACTTTTATCACATTTCATACAACTTAATTTATTCAAATAGTCTGTGTAGAGACTAATCTTATTATTGGATGTATTATTTTATGTAATTGCTACATTTCAAATACATTTTGCTTTGCTTTCAGTAAGGTCATCAGCTAACATCTTCAGTTTGTATCTCCATAAGCTTAAGTTTACAAAATCCCTGTGCTTAGAGGACAACAGGTTAAAAACTTGACCAGGAAGGAGAAGTTTTCTACTTTTAAAAAGTCATAGCAGAAAGCCCTGAACCAAAGTTAGGTGCTTTTGAAGGCTTTGAAGAGCGATTTGCCTTTGAATATGGCTAATAGTGGAAGAAACACAAGTGCAGATTGTGGGTGAGATAGTTTCCCTCTCCAGCTTCAGAGCTACCACAGTTACATGCTTCCAATAATACTGGATTCCTTCAAGTTATCTTCAGAGGTAGTTTGATTTCCATAGCTCATAGTAATATATTAGAAGAAGACCCAACAAGAACCACAGGTTTACAGAGATGAGAACAAAGTGAGAAATCTGTTCTCCTATCTCCATTACTTCTGTGTTTGAAGTGGTTCTTTCTTGAATAAAGACTTGTGATTCTGTAGGTTTTAGTTTGACTTCATACTGTGTATTTGCATACCAAAATCCAAATGTAAATGACTGGGTTTCTTGTCGTTGTTGTTTGACTTCTTAGTTGTCTTGGAATAAGCATACAGATGCAATGAAAGATTCCATACCGGTTTTCAACAGTACTAATCTTCAAAATTGCATTTGGCATTTTTTCCCCCCTCAAATTATTATGATTTAAATATAGAAATATATATATGTAAATTCAGAAATTGTATGCTTGATAAATTCAAGAATTTCTTATTATAGCTCTCTCCCCAGTTCTGTAAAAAAAAAAAAATCTTCAAAACACTGTAAATAGCTTTATGTAGTGATAGAAATGTCTGTGAAATTCTCCTCTTAGAGAAATATAATTGTTGGGCTATTTTCTCTTGAGAGAAGGTGCTCTCTTCTGTTAAGTGACATAACTTTTTTGTATTTGAGTTCTTGAAGGCTGAATTTTGTTGTAACTTTAGTATGCTCATGAGATTTTTCCCTGTGCACAGGCTATTGCCAACAGCTAACCTTAGCAGGGTATTGCAGGTGAAACAAGGAAAAACAGGCTGGTTTTAACATGGATAAGAGTGGGCTGGTTTTTTTTTTAATTTTCAGCTTTATTTTTAAGCACCATTTCACTTCATTCCAATGTTTGGGAATAAAAATCTGATTGTTCTTATATTTCCATCTGTCTTTGGTGAACCTTGAAATACTTCCAACCTTGTT